TCAATAAAATATATTAATTTAAAAAAAGAGGAAGAAGAAAAAGTTAAAGATTAAAATTATGAACAAATACATATCTATCAACAAGTGAATATAAAAACCAAGCATATAAAAAATCTGATGGCTGCCGGGACCGGTTTGGCTCAATGGATAGAGCGTCGGCTTGGGGACTGAGGGGTCCCGGGTTCGATTCCGGTCAAGGGCATGTGCCTTGGTTGCGGGCATATCCCCGGTGGGGGGTGTGCAAGAGGCAGCTGATCGATGACTCTCTCTCATCGATGTTTCTAACTCTCTGTCTCTCTCCCTTCCTCTCTGTATAAAATCAATAAAATATATTTTTTTAAAAAAATCTGATGGCTGAAACCGGTTTGGCTCAGTGGATAGAGCGTTGGCTTGCAGACTGAAAGGTCCCGGGTTCAGTTCCGGTCAAGGGCATGTACCTTGGTTGCAGGCACATCCCCAGTAGGGGGTGTGCAAGAGGCAGCTGATCAATGATTCTCTCTCATCGATGTTTCTAACTATCCCTCTCTCTTCCTCTCTGTGAAAAATCAATAAAATATATTTTTAAAAATAAATAAAAATAAAATAAAAAATCTGATGATCAGTATATAGTAGAATCAGGGGCATAGAAAGGGAGTGAACTGACAATCTTCCGGGGGAAAGGGGTGTGAGGGGTGCGGGAAGAGACTGGACAAAAATCATATATCTATGGATGAGACAGTGGGGAATATAAGGGCATGGGGTGGGGTGGGAACCAGGTGGAATGGAACTATGGGGGTGGGGGGACAAGGGACAACTGTAATAATCTGAAAAATAAAGATTTAATTTCTCTAAAAAGCTGTGGTACATTTATACCATGGAATACTATGCAGCTGTAAAAAAGAGTGTCTTTCCCTTTGAGACAGCATGAAGGGACTTGGAGAGTATCCTGTTTTGTGAAATAAGTCAGTCAGAGAAAAACAAGTATCATTTGATCTCATGTGGAATCTAATTAACAAAATAAACTGATAAATGAAGAGGATCTAGAGACATAGAAGCATGGAACATTGTGGAATCCTCAAAGGAAGGTGAGGGAGGATGGGTTGGTGGGTGGGAAGTAATCAACCAAAGACCTTGTATGAGTATACTAACTAGTGTACATAACCCATGGACACAGACAATAGGGTAGTGAAGGCATGAGAGCAGGCTGGAGAGAATTAATGGGGGTGGGGGCGCGCATGCATTTGTAATACTTTCAACAATAAAAATATTTTTTTAAAGAATCTAGTTTTTTAAAATAGGTTTGAGAAGTTCTTGTCAGTTATTTGTTTAAATAAGCTCTCTTCCCTCCCTTTCTTCTGCTTCAGATATACCCATTATTATTTTTTAATGTGTTTTTATTAATTTTTAGAGAGAAAGAGAGGGGGAGAAATTGAAACATCTATTGGCTGCCTCCCGCACGCCCTCTACTTTGGATCAAGCCCGCAACCCTGACATATGCCCTGACCCAGAAAGGAACCAGTGACTTCTTGGTTTAATGTTGAACATTGAGCCATACTGACCAGGCTATCTGTTATTCTCATATTGCTCTTTCTGATGGAGTCAGATAGTTCTTTCTTTCTTTTTTTTTAACTCTTAAACACCCACTTTTCATCTGAGTCACTTCTAGAGTTATATTTTAAATGTCACTAATTATTTTCTCCATTTGGTCTGCTCTGTTTCTTTTCTTTTTTTTAAATATATTTTTATTTATTTCAGAGGGGGGGGGGGAAGACATGGAAACATTAATGATGAGAGAGAATCATTGATCAGCTGCCTCCTACAAGCCACCACTGGGGATTGAGCCCACAACCCAGGCATGTGCCCTTGGTGGGAATTGAACCAGGGACTCTTGAGCCAAATTGGTTAGGGCTGCTCTGTTTCTGAAGCCTTGCTAGTTCATTCTTCATCTCTTTTATTGAGCTCTTTCAGCTCTAGAATTTTTATTTATTTTTATTTTTTGGTAAAGTACTCATTCTGTTTGTTGATTTTATTTCTGAGTTCATTAAAAAGGTCTTTCTGAATTTTCTTGTATCACATGGAGTTTTTTCATAAACTTCAGTCTCAAATTGTCATTTAAATTACATTTCATGTCTTTAAGCTTATTTTTCTGGAGATTACTCATGGTATCTGATGAATTATGTCTCTGCTTTTATGGGAATGAAACTGCTTTTTTTTTTTTAATGTATTTGACACTATTATTTTAAGAGATGGGTAAGTAAGTTTCTTTTGTTTTCTAGTAGAGGGTGCAAGTTTTTATTTTGCTCTTGCTTGCACTGCTGGGGCTTCCTGGATCTTTTAGGATGGTGTTTCCTCCACTGTGGAAAATTCCCTTTATTCCCTGGGGAGGTGGGCATCCCCTCTGTCACCTTAGTCTCAGGACTCTACCCTGGTGAGGAAATGTGATAAGTGATAGGACCTCTGAGATCCCAGTGCTGCCTACAACAGATGCTGCCAGTAATGCTGTACTATCTGAGGTGTCCCAGCTGCCTCTACTGGGCTCCACTGCTATGGATGGGGGCAGGTTGGGCTTATTCTTGCATTTGTGGCCTTGTGCTCCTTCCAATAATGGTGGCTGCCGAACTTCAGTTGGCACACCTCTTTGTCTTGGCCCCTGTTCATGCGTTTAGCAGCACTATGCATCTGCTGCTCAGGAGAAATATTTCTTCTCTCTGGTCCTCAGGGCTGTCAAGTGCTGTAATCCAACACTGAGCAGTTACAAGGTCTGTTGGGGCTACTTACTTCTCTGGGAGATGAAGGCAGGCAGTTACTTGTCTGGGACTTGGTTTTCTGCATGGCAATGACGGCTGCTAGACCACAGCTGCCCTGCCTTTTGTTCCTCTCTATTTGTCACTGGGTTCAGCTGCAGAATGTGCTGACTACTCAGGCAGGAATGTCCATTAGGCCTGCCTTATTTAATAATGCATTGACTATGGCATTGTTACATTTTAAAATCATTGTATATATTTCATTATTGAGATGCACCTTAATGTATTCCTTTTACTGCCTACTAAAGATTATTTATACTTATATATTTTAATTGTGAAATAGCCCCAAAAATATTCCTATGATTACAACTTCTTGTGTTTTTATAATGAACTAGTAGTCCTGCGCTCCAAGCTGTGTGCCAGTAGCTCTCTGCTGCCCTCCAGTGTCTCTCCATCTGCTGCCCTGCCTCCCTTTAGCTCCCCCAACCCCTTCCCATAGCTAGCTTCCCTGCCCCCTCCTGTAGTTCTCCATTGCCCTCTTGTAGCTCGCTGCCCCATCCTCCAGTTGATCCATGATCCCATCGTTACACGGTCGGTCATATGCTTCATGGCGTAACGACCATTTGCATATTACATCTTTATTATATAGGATTTCATGGGGTTAGGCATTAAATATTTATTAAGAATTTGCAAATATGCAGAATCTACTAGAATTCAAGAAGAAAAAAATACTTTTAAAAAGTTACAGTCACTTTTAAAATTGCAAATGATTTTGTAAGGGAGATATACAAAAGAGATTTATATAAACTTGCATACAAATATCCAAAGTAAAGGTTGATAAACAGCACTAGCTTAGCCTGGTAATATGCTGTGAGATTTAATAAGAGGGAGATATTTGTATAACCAGAGTAGCTCTTTTCATGTCATATTATATCTAAGTTGACTGACCCCATAAGAATTTTGTGGAGATACATCCATTTTCTTGAATTGCCTATAGTCCCTGCAGTTTTCATTCGCATTACCAGAAATCCAAAGTATGACCAGTGGATGGAGCATGATGATTCTGTAGCTGTTTGGAGAACACTGCAGGACATAAGAAACATAATAAACCCATCTGTCAGGAAGGGCTAAAAAGAAGCATCATTTATACAAAGGACATATCCATGTGACTTTTAGTCCTTTTCCAGGTAAGACTTTGATACACATGAATATAGTTACCAAATCAAGAAGTTTTCAACTATTGGAAACTGACCAAGCAAAAATACAACTATGTGTGTGGTGTTTTTTTGTTTTTGTTTTTGTTTTTGTTTTAGAATAGTATCCTGAGCTATTGTTTGTTTAAGAAGCTTGTTTTAAAAAAAAAAAAAAAAGTAAATAGTTTCTTGTTCCTCTGCTATTTGGGAATAAGCCTACATTTACAGAATTTAAAAATACACATTTAGCTCTGGCTGATATGGCTCAGAGACCCATGTATCAGTAGGTCACTGGTTTGATTCCTAGTCAGAGCGAATGCCCAGGGATTATGGGCTCAATCCCCGGTAAGGGCTGATCCATATTCCCCTCTCTCTTTCTCTCTCTCTCTCTCTCGCTCTCTCCCTTCTCTCTCTAAAATCAATAAAAACATTTTTAAAAAATTTTAATAAGAAAGTACACATTTTAAAATTATACATTGTTCGCAGCAAAGGGTTTGGTTTTGTATGTTTCTCCTCTCCAGAAGAAGCCACTAAATCAGTTACAGAAATGAATGGTAGAATTGTGGCTACCAAACTCTTGTATGTAGCTTTAGCTCAGTGTAAAGAAGAGCGCCAGGCTCACCTCACTAACCAGTATATGCAGAGAATGGCAAGTGTGAGAGCTGTGCCCAACCCCATAATCAACCCCTACCAGCCAGCACCTCCTTCAGGTTACTTCATGGCAGCTATCCCGCAGACTCAGAACCGTGCTACATACTATCCTCTTAGCCAAATTGCTCAACTAAGACCAAGTTCTCGCTGGACTACTCAGGGTGCCAGACCTCATCCATTCCAAAATATGCCTGGTGCTATCCGCCCAGCTGCTCCTAGACCACCATTTAGTACTATGAGACCAGCTTCTTCACAGGTTCCACGAGTCATGTCCACACAGCGTGTTGCTAACACGTCAACTCAGACAATGGGTCCTCATCCTGCAGTGGCTGCTGATGCAGCTAATCCTGCTGTCCACACCATTCCATAGTATAAATATGCTGCAGGAGTTCGCAATCCTCAACAACATCTTAATGCACAGTCACAAGTCACCATGCAGCAGCCTGCTGTTCATGTACAAGGTCAGGAGCCTTTGACTGCTTCCATCTTGGCATCTGCCCTTCCTCAAGAGCAAAAGCAAATGTTAGGTGAACGGCTGTTTCCTCTCATTCAAGCCATGCACCCTACTCTTGCTGGTAAAATCACTGACATGCTGTTGGAGGTCGATAATTCAGAACTTCTTCATATGCTTGAGTCTCCAGAATCTCTTCATTCTAAAGTTGAAGTTGTAGCTGTACTGCAAGCCAACCAAGCTAAAGAGGCTGCCCAGAAAGCAGTTAACAGTGCCACCGGAGTTCCAACTGTTTAAAATTGATCAGGGACCACGAAAAGAAACTAGTGCTTCACCGAAGAAAAATATCTAAACATCGAAAAACAATATTACAGGGGGGGGAAAAATTGCAAAAAATATAAAATAAATTTTAAAAAAAAGGAAAGGAAACTTTGGACCTTATGTACCGTGCAAATGTCAGGTCTAGCAAAAATAATGCTAGTCCTAGATTACTTATTGATTTAAAAACAAAAACACAAAAAATCGTAAAATATAAAAACAAATTAATGTTTTATAGACCCTGGGAAAAAGAATTTTCAGCAAAGTACAAAAATTTAAAGCATTCCTTTCTTTAATTTTGTAATTCTTTACTGTGGAATAGCTCAGAATTTCACTTCTGTTTTAAATAACAGAATTGATAACTGAGCAAGGAAACATAATTTGGATTATAAAATTCTTTGCTTTAATAAAAATTCCTTAAACAGTAAATAAATAAATAATTATACATTGTTATTGAAAAAATAAGCTCTTAAGTAAATTGAAGATCATAAAACTTCCCAGACATGCCTGGCCAGTGTCGCTCAGTGATTGAGCATTGGCCTGGTTAGGGCACATGCCCAGTTTCCGGGCTCAATTCCCAGTAGTGGGCATGTGGGAGGCAGCAGATCAATGTTTTCTCTCTCTCTCTCTCTCTCTCTCTCTCTCTCTCTCTCTCTCTCTCTCTCTCTCTCTCTCTCTCTCTCTCTCTTTCCCCCCAACTCCTTCCTCACTCTAAAATCAATAAACCTATACTTGGTTGAGGATTTAAGAAAAAAGAAAGAAAATACAGGAAAAAAACCACAAAGATGCCCCATAATTATACACTTAGAGACAAAAGTTGTGAAAATTTGATTGAAAAGCCTTAATGCATACACATATGCATATATAGTATATATACATATGTATATTTTTTTCTCTTTTAAAAAAATATATTTTTTTAAATTTTTAAAGAGAGGAAGGAAGAGGGATAGAGAGTTAAAACATTGATGAGAAGGAAACATCGATCAGCTGCCTCTTACACATACTGGGGATGTGACCAAACCAAGGCACATGCCCCCGACCAGAATCAAACCTGGGACCCTTCAGTCCATAGGCCAACACTCTATCCACCGAGCCAAGCTGGCTAGAGCATGAAACACAGAGTTTTATTACCTACCTTATTCACCTGACATTGTTTAACATCTTAGCATGAGCAAAGATATGTATCATTGAGAAAGGGAGAGAGAAAACATCAATGGGAGAGAGAACATCTATTGGTTGCCTTTTGTACATCCCTGACTGGGGATTGAACCCGTGCCCTGATCAGAAATCGAACTCACAACCTTTAGGTATATGCTCCAACCAACTGAGCCACACTGGCCAAGGCTAATGAGTCCTTTTTTGTAGGAAATGAAAGCTCTCTCCAGATTGTTTCCATTTTTAACAGGATCTTCATCATACATCTTTAGATAGTCTCATATATGAAATTGCTTCATCAAAGCACATTGGTGGTTTAATTTCTGCTGACATTGCTTTGTTGGAAGTATATACTAGCTATAGCCTGTGTGTCTATTTTTTTTTTATGTTATGCTATTGTGGAGTCTCATCAATTTCTTATTTTATTATTTTTTATTAGTTTTTTCCATCACCATTTATCCACTCTATGCCCTCTTCCACCTCTACCCACTCCCCCTCAGCAATCTTTTAAATTTTTGCCAAATTGATAACTATAAAATGACATTTTCTTGTTACTGTATGCACTCCCTTCATTACTAAAGTTTAAAAACTTTTGATAGGTGGTGCCATTTTATTATTTAGTGAATTGCCCATGCATAACCTTTGCTCATTTGCCTAAAATCACTGCTTTTTTTCTGAACAATTAATTTTAGAAGTATGAAGGGTTTTTGTTGTTTTTCATTTGCCTTTTCATTTTAATTTTAGTACTTGGGGGTAGAACTTTTTTTTTTTTTTTAATATATTTTATTGATTTTTTACAGAGAGAAAGGGTGAGAGATAGAGAGCTAGAAAGGTCGATGAGAGAGAAACATTGACCAGCTATTTCTTGCACACCCCCGACCGGGGATGTGCCCGCAACCAATGTACATGCCCTTGACCGGAATCGAACCTGTGACCTTTCAGTCCGCAGACCGGCGCTCTACCGCTGAGCCAAACCGGTTTTGGCATGGGGGTAGAACTTTTTAATCTTTTCAAGAATATGTCGGGGGTGGGGGGTGGGGGTTCTGCCTTTATGTCATGGGTTCATAAAACCTATACATAGAGGTAATATGCTAATTTGTCCGTGATGATGTCCCCAGTAACAACCTATTTGCATATTGATGCTCATGCAGCAGGGGGCGGGGTCTGAGGAGTCTGCCTAACAGGAGCCCAGACTGCAAAGAAGGAAGAGGAAGCGGCCACAGGGAGCTCTTCCAAACCCCCTCCACGGACACCTTACCCCAGCCCCCACACTCTCGGAGGCACGGGGAGGCTGATCGGAAGGGCAGAAGACCCAGCCTGGGGGGGAGGGGGATAGCTGCAGCCCTCACCTCCAACTCCCAGTTTCTTCCTCCGCACCCCTGCTTGGGGTGCCCACGGCAATAGCACACTGGTGATCACCCATCAGCGCCCCCAGGCCTGCAGCCCGCCACTGCTGGGCACGCCTCTTCAACCTACAACTCCAGACCTGGGTGGAGGCAGGCCTGAGCGGCCCCCAGGGTCAAACCCTTCCCCCTGACAGCAGCAGTGCCAGTTCCACAGCTGAAGCGCAGCTAAACCCGCCCACCTGGCCCGGCCCCCACTCCGCTCCAGGAGCCTGGAGCCCCGCCCTGAGCACGCACAGCTGCGGTACAGCCCTGCAGAATTTAAAGAATGCGCCGCCGAGCGGGAGGTTTGACAGTTACAACCCCCTCGGGCCTCGCCGCCCCACTAGTGACCCCCATCCCCAGCGCCTCCAATGAGGACGGTCGCTATAGGGCTGCTGGCCAGACCCCGCCCCTCCGAGGCCTGCAGAACTCTCTGCAAAGCTTCCATTGCTACAGTCTCAGGGGAAATATCACGCCCTCCTCCCCTAATCAGCACCTGCTACCTAGGAGAGTACCTGTGAGCTTAAAAATAACAATCCCTTCCCGTTTAGACATCACTTACTTGATGAAACATTTCTAGGTTTATTAGCTGAGAACCTCCTCAGGATAACCCTGAGGTAGGCGGGGGAGAGCTTACAATTCCCAAGGTATATGTGTATGTATTCAGAAAGAAGCTCAGAGAGCAAAAGTGTCAAGCCCAGTGGTTCCCAAGGTGAAGCACATGCCCCACAGGGAGGCAATTTGATTTTTAGTGGGGGCAATTCGAGAATGAGTTAACAGTGAATTTTTGCATTATGGTTCTAGGGAGCCTCATATACAGCGTATCCTACATAATAGGCTAATATGCAAATGACCAAATGGTGGCATGACCAGTCACTATGATGCAGCTGACCACCAGGGGACAGACACTCAACACAGGAGCTGCCCCCTGGTGGTCAGTGTGCTCCCATAGGGGGAGCTCCACTCAGCGAGAAGCAGGGCGCACAGCTGGCGAGCACAGCGGTAGTAGTGGAAACCTCTCCCGCCTGCGTGGCAATGCTAAGGATATCCGACTGACTGCTTAGGCCTACTAAGTGGTCAGTCAGACATCTCCCCAGGGCTCCGGGACTGTGAGAGGGCACAGACCAGGCTGAGGGACACTTCCCCTCCTCCCCCCCAAGTACATGAATTTCATGCACTGGGCCTCTAGTATATTATATTTATCTTAAATATTTTTATTTTATTTTTTAAAATATATTTTATTGATTTTTTTACAGTAAGGAAGAGAGAGGAATAGAGAGTTAGAAACATCGATGAGAGAGAATCATCGATCAGCTGCCTCCTGCACACTCCCTGCTGGGGATGTGCCCGAACCAAGGTACATGCCCTTGACTGGAATCGAACCTGGGACCTTTCAGTCCGTAGGCCGACGCTCTATCTACTGAGCCAAATCGATTTCGACTATCTTAAATATTTTTAAAGTATTTAATTTTGTACAGTAAATATTTTATCAAACTAGAACTTCTTTTTGGCTGACAAAAGATAGGCTGAGAAATTTCTATTTTGATAAATGTTTAAGGTTTTCATTGTGATCTTATGCATTGATTGCACTGCTTGAGTGTCTCCCATGCAGTTTGTCTTGACGAATTAATAATGAACCAAACCAACAAGATCCCTGCATTTTAAGTTTAGTGGAGGAGTCAAATAATTGACAGGCAAATATATAATACAACATTTAGTAGCACTGAGAGCTATAAAAAAAAAAAATAAAGCAGAGAAGGATAGAGAGAATGGCAATGGGTAATACTTTCATAGTTTGATTGCAGAGGTAAAGTTTAAGCAGAAACCTTCTCGAAAAGGAATGTAAGCTCTATGACTGTCTGGTGAAAGAGGATTCCAGAAAGAGCATACAAAGCTTCCAAGGGAACCTGCCTGGTGAGTTCTAAATAGTTCATGGGCATTTAAGATTAATGAATATCCTGATGATAGATACAATTTCAGAATTTTACCAGGATGCAGCTAGATGTGGCTGGCTGTTTATGAATTTTGATAAGCTCTCAAAAATTCTTTTTAAAGATTCAAGTATTTCATTTCCTCCAGAAAATATTTTATTCATTATTTCTCCAGCTGTTCTATTAGTCATTTTTATTCTATTTTAGGTCTGGATTTCTCTCTTCCATATCTCTGATCTTTATTTTCAGAATTCATTCTTCTGTGTATTTTTCCTCTGAATTCTGAGATGTTCTCTTAGGCTCCCAATCATCTCCACTATCCCAATTTCTAACACATCTGGTACCTTCTCTAATAATTCTTAGAAGAAACTATTGTCACAAAACCACTGTCTTCTGTAGCAAAGCACTTACAGAGGTTCTAGTTTCCTTCTCCTATTAACCCCTAACTCTTTCAGTTGCCCCTTTCTACTCTGGGATTTATTGTTTATTCATTTTTAAAAAATATATATTTTATTGATTTTTGTACAGAGAGGAAGGGAGAGAGATAGAGAGTTAGAAACATCAATGAAAGAGAGACATCGATCAGCCGCCTCTTGCACACCCCCCACTGGGGACATGCCCGCAACCAAGGCACATGCCCTTGACTGGAATCAAACATGGAACCCTTGAGTCTGCAGGCTGAGGCTCTATCCACTGAGCCAAATGGGTTAGGGCTCTCATCTGTACATCAGTAATTTCCAATTTTATATTTCTACATTTGGACTCTATCCTGAACTCCAGAACCAAATGTCTAATGGACACTTGACATTTCCACTTGGTATGTAATAATCATCTCAAGTATTAAGATCTAAAACAGAACTCATAATGGTTTCACCAAACCTGCTCCTCTCACAGTCCTTTGTGTTAAAAAATAGCAAAATCACACTCTAATTTCTCAAGTCTAAAATCTTAGTGTCATCTTGCTTTTATTTTCTTAAATACCTAAAATTAGCTAATCCTGTCAGCTCTGCCTTCAGAGAATATGTAGAATCTAATTTGATCAGTTCTCATCAGTTCTCATCACCTCCACCACCCTAATGCAAATCACACTCCCCACTTGCCTGGATTACTACAATGGCCTCACTGGTGTCCTTGCTTCCCCCACCCCTTTATCCTTTTTAGTTCATTCTCCGTGAGTAAGTCTTTCAAATGTAAATCAGATTATGCCATTTCTTGGCTTAAAAACATCTCAGTATCTTCCTGTTTTACTCAAGAGTAAAAACCTAAATTCTTACAATCTACTTCTCTGACCCTCTTTTTCTCATATACTTTTTCATTACAGCCACTCTAGTCTCCTCTATTGGTCAAAGAAAGCCTGCTCCTGCCTTGAGGCCTTTGCAATTGCAGTACCCTTGCTAGGAATGTACCTCTCATAGGTATCTGAATTGCTCTCTCACTTCATTCTTATATGTCACCTTCTCAATAAAAAGTCTCAGGCTACCCTCCATTGTCCCCAAACTCCCTGTCAACTTCCTCTTTATTTTTCTCGTAAAACTTTGACCACTAGGCATATAAAAAGAAACATTCGTATATTTGCTACTTCCTCTTTCAATTAGAATGTAATAGATTTACTGAGACAGTAAATCTCACATTTTTTTATCTTCCTCGCAGATAAGTAAATGCCAGTTGAGGTAGGAACTTAGTAAATAAGAGAGAATTCCTGACTTTTTTTTTCTCTCTGCCAGCATGTCCAATTAGATGCCAGAGCCTATTAATTTTACTTTAAAAAAAAAAAACAAAAAAAAAAAACGTTCTTATTGATTTTAGAGAAAAAAACATCAAACATCTATTAATTGCCTTACATATGCACCCCAACAAGGGTCTGAACCCAAAATTGGGCATATGCCCTGACCAAGAAACGAACCAGCAACCTTTTGGGGTGCATGAGATGACATGCAATCAACTGAGCCATACTGGCCAGGGCTGATTTTACTTCTTCTCTATACCCTTCAAGAATGTATCCCCTTCCTTCTTGTTTCCACTAACTATTCTAGGACAGATTCTTAGTTTGTTTGGGAAAGTACAAGCACCTTTCAGTTGATATTCCTAACATTAGTTTTACTCCTCTCCAATAAAATCTGGTCATATTGTCCTTATCACTTCCTTCTTTAAATTCCTCACTGGCCTTCTATTTATCAATGAATGCAAACCAAACTTATATATATTCAATCAGTGTTCATTGGTCATCTGTAGCCTTCAGACACAATGGCAAGTGCCAGTCACAGTGATGATGAGACCTGGTTCTTGCTCTTATAGTTCTTTTATTTCATTCATACACCTTCATTTTCCAACCCCTAGATGTCATCTCCAGCATTGACATCTTCTAAGTTCTAGAGCTCATTGAATTTAAATTTGGATTCATTTAAATGAAGGAAAAATTTTAGTTATCCATTCATATTAGCTACATGGGGCTAATGGCTACATTATTAACGATACACCCATTGACAAAGTGCAGAAAACCACTTGGGTCTGACTGGGAATACTAAGATGAGAGAGCATGCTTCCTCGTTAACTGCCATCCTGACTAACACTCACAGCGCCTGAAGGCCTGGGTGTCAGGGCGGTTTACTCCAATCCTGGGTTTTGGTGGCTGTCACAAGCATGGGAGCGCGATGGCAGAAGGGCATCGTCCGCTGGGCTCGCTGAGCGCCTCACTCAGCGGGAACTCCGTGCACAGGGTGTGCAAAGGGCTGTGTTAGAACCCAGCAGCTGTTTGTCTTCCCTTTGTCCGTCAGTGGATCTGACCCACCAGTGGGGATGTGCCACATGTTTGCTTCATCAATGGACTCAGAACCCAAGGTAGCCCTACATTTTAAAACTCTACAGGTTTTAGAAATAGATTGTTCTAGAATTGGTGATGGCTACACAACTTCAAACATTCTAAAGGACATTGAACTGTGCACTTTAAAAGGGTGAATTTTATGGTATATAAATCATATCTAAATTTTATAATACAGTTTCTGCTTCCAAGTTAAAAAAAAAAAAAAACGATACAGATTTCCATCATCACAGAAAGTTTGTTGGACAGCACACACTGATCTAGACCTTTTCCAAACTATATACATCATTCCAAATGCTCCTCAAAAACACCATATAGTTGGTCCACCGTTTTACCACTGCTTTCCACTCTGCTCATAATGCTCTTCTGTGCCTTTTCTAGCTATTAAATTTTCTGATCTTTAGGTCCCAAATCATGTTCTGTATCTTATAGGAAATTTTCCTCAACACCACCCCCATTGGTTACATGAGTCTTCCTTCTGACACCCCACCATGCTTCTTACTCCTCTAATTAAAACCAACCTTGCTACCTTCCTTAAAACCCCTGAGATCTCATTACTTGGGGGCACAGGCCATTCTCCACAGAACTTCAGCTGTGATAACTGCTAGTCAGGGAGGAAGCATGTTCTGAAGGAAAGCAATGGGGATGGTTTAAATGGAAAATAAGTGCTGGGCCAAAAGGCTGCTACAAATTGAATTGCCACTCAGGTCAGCTTGTAAGATGCCTGTATTACTGTGGTTTTCCTGCTCCTGTCCAGCTGGGATGGAGTCTTTGATGAAGTCTCTGGTGGTATGGGCAGCATGGCATCCTTTTGGACTTTGAAAGAAAAAGTAAACCAAGGGGGTACCCAAAAAATTCTGCCTATAGAGCCTACAGAAGCTGGAAGACATTGTCTCAGAATTTTTTTCCCCACAAGATGGTACTGTCCTCAGCCTTAGAGGGTAAAGTGCCTATGAATTATCATCTTCCTTGCTGTAGCTGCAAAGTAAGATCTGCTTGATACAGGTGGGGAGCTATCTAGGGTATAGACTATCAGAAACAAGATAAGGGACTCTTCAGGCCAGAATTCCTCCTGCTGAGGTGCATGGGTTCTGTGTCAGTGCTGGAGCACATCTGCATGAATCCATCTTTTGGTTTAAGGAAGGGCTGGGTTTTGTTAACTCTGTAGTTCTTTGCATTAGGATTGTGTGGCAAGACCAGGGGAGGGGAGAGAATGCAGAGCAGGAACAGCTCATCTATTTAGGATTGCTGAAGCAAGCTCAATTTATAAGAGATTTGCTCTGCTTTTTCAGGATTCTACTTGTCCAAGAAAAGAACCTAGAGAATCTGAACAGATCAGGTAGTTCTAAAAGCAATGGCCCAAGTAAGTTGAAATTTCCTTCATCCTTTTTTGTTTTTTATGTGTGTGGTTTTTTTTTTTGTTTGTTTGTTTGTTTGTTTGTTTGTTTTGTGTGTGTGTGTGTGTGTGTGTATGTGTGTGTGTAGGTTTTCTTTTGTTTGTTTGTTAATCCTCACCAGAAGATATTTTTCCATTTTTAGGGAGAGTAAAAGAGAGAGACAGAGACAAACATTGATGTGAGAGAAACACATCGTTTGGTTGCCTCCTGCACAAGCCCTGACCAGGGCCCAGGTCTGGGAGGAGCCTGCAATCAAGATTCGTGCTCTTGACCAGAATCAAATCCAGGACCCTTCAGTCTGCAGGCCAGTGCTCTATCACTGAGCCAAACTGGCTAGGGCCCCTTTTCCTTGGAAAACCTGTCTTCCCTTCATATTATATGAACATTTGTCTTTATCCTGAAACTTCTCTGTGTCAGTTGAGTTCTATTCAGTAATCTATTTCGAATTCTTCCATTCCAGAAAATAAGTAATGGTACCTCATGTCCCTTAGTGGCTTTCTCTAATAGTGTTCACATGTGTTCACAGTACTTTTACCAGAGCACCAATGGAGCAAAAATATATTTTCTTGAGAGCCTCTCTTATTTTTTAATTTTTTAAAAATCCTCACCCAAGGATTTTTCCCTTTGATTTTTAGAGTCAGTGGAAGAGAGTAATTTCAATGTGAAAAAAAAACACATCAATTAGTTGCCTCCTGCATGCACCCTAATCAGAGCCTGAGTCAGGGAAGAGCCTGCCACCGAGGTACGAGCCTTGACTGGAATCAAAACCAGGACTCTTTGGTCTGCAGGCCTAAGTTCTATCCACTGAGCCAAATTGGCTAGGCAGAGCCTCTCTCATTAACACCTCTAGAGGCCTGCTGCACGATATTCGTACAAGAATAGGCTTCCTTCCCCTGGTTTCACTCCCTTCTGCCCACCTGGGAGCCAGCAAGTCCTCGCTTCTGTCCAGAGTACCGCTCCAGTAGCTCCCTCCACCGCCTCCTCCCCCTCATAGCAGGCATCCAGCTCCTCTTGGCTGCTCTGTGCCTGCATATGCAAATTAACCCACCATCTTTGTTGGGTTAATTTGCCTACTGATTTTGATTGGCTATGGACATAGCAGAGGTACAGTCAATTTACATGTTTGTCTATTATTAGGTAAGATGTTGAAAGCGGCCAAAGATCAGATAGCTTTGATCTTTTTTTTTTTTTAATATATTTTATTGATTTTTTTACAGAGAGGAAGAGAGAGGGATAGAGAGTTAGAAACATCAATGAGAAACATTGATCAGCTGCCTCTTGCACACCCCCTACTGGGGATGTGCCCGCAGCCAAGGTACATGCCCTTGACTGAATCGAACCCGGGACCTTTCAGTCCGCAGGCCTACTCTTTATCCACTGAGCCAAACCAGTTTTGGCTGCTTTTATCTTTGTTTTATTAAACTGGGTAATTTCCTTTTTTTTCTATTTTTAAATGTCATCCCTCTTTAAAAGTCATAAAATATTTCACACTATCAAAACTTTATTTTTGCAAAGTGATTTATGGGAGATGAATAACTGTAAAATGGTCCATTTTGAGGTTGAACAATATGCATTGGTTATGGGCTACATTTATGTGACTGAGATATAATCTGTCAGTTTTTAAATATATATATTATTGTTTTCAGAAAGGAAGGAAAAAGGAGAGAGAGAGAGAGAGAGAGAGAGAGAGAGAGAGAGAGAGAGAGAGAGAAACATCAATGATGAGAATCATTGATTGGCTGCCTCCTGCACACACACACACACCCTCCCCCACTCCTCCCTGCTAGGGATCCAGCCCACAACCCCAGCATATACCCTGACCCAGAATTGAACCAGACTTCCTGGTTTATAGGTGGATGCTCAACTACTGAGCATGGCTCCATCAGCTTTCTTATTTCAGGAACAAGTAAAAGTAGACAGTGAAAGATGATAACTATTCACAGTATATAATTAACTTGAATATTTCACAAATCTCATTTAAGCTAAATGCCCTCAAAATAATGGAATGGTTATATCTTATAAGACATAAAGTATAATATTATGTAGCAAATAAAATCCCTGTGTTTACTATAAAATTTGCCATAACCAAAAATTTTTTATGATGTTTGGCAAAAAGAAGCAGTGGGAACACTGCTGTCATTTTCAACAGTATATTCTTTGTTGTATGGGACTGTTCTGGGTCCATAGCCCAGATAATTCAAGACACATCATTCCTGATGCCAACCAGCACTAATGTCAGTAGCATACTGCTCCCCTCCCAGCCCAATCCCCCCCATTATGACAACTAGACTGCCCTCTGCATGGTCCCAAGTGCATTCTGAAGAGGAAGATAAAATCTATGTTGAGTCTTTAGGATAGATTTAAAACTTCTCTAAATGCTATATTTTAGAATAGAGATTTATAAGATATTTTTTATCTCAAGGAAGAAAAATGGTAAAAAAAAAAAAATGCTTTTTTAAAGACTTTATTATTTGCTAGGCCCATGTTTGCTGTGTGTTTTGTATATGTTATTTTATTGATTTATAAGATCCCATTTAGCTAGATTTTGCTCATTCTTTTTTATTTGTAGTCACCAGAATATTCAAAAGCATGTAAGCCTTTAGTCATATAAATTTGCTTCTTGTACTCCCTTCATGGCATAGGCATTCATCCCTAGCTTGCTTAATCTCCTTCTTCTTACAACACCCTTTTTATCTTAAAGACATTTACCTGGATGGATAAGATTGTTAAAACCTGAACCTACTTATCAATTTTAACCTTACTAAAATTGGGACAACTAGCTCTCGGTCCCATGTTGAACTCAAGTTGGAAGAGGCGAGTCCGGTCTCAAAATGGAGAGCCATGATCCTAAGGAACCAGAACAGTTGAGAAAACTGTTTATTGGTGGTCTGAGCTTTGAAACTACAGATGACAGTTTAAGAGAACATTTTGAGAAATGGGGCACAGATTGTGTGGTGATGAGAGACCCCCAAACAAAACGTTCCCGGGGCTTTGGTTTTTGACTTACTCTTGTGTTGAAGAGGTGGATGCAGCAATGTGTGCCCCATCAACACACAAGGTTGATGGACGTGTAGTGGAACCAAAGAGAGCTGTTTCTAGATTGGATTCTGTAAAACCTGGTGACCATCTAACAGTGAAGAAAATTTTAGTTGGTGGTATTAAAGAAGATACAGAAGAATACAATTTGAGAGACTACTTTGAAAAGTATGGCAAGATTGAAACCATAGAAGTTATGGAAGACAGGCAGAGTGGGGAAAAAAGAGGATTTACTTTTGTAATTTTTGATGATCATGATACAGTTGATAAAATTATTATTCAGAAATACCACACTATTAATGGGCATAATTGTGGAGTGAAAAAGGCCCTTTCCAAACAAGAAATGCAGTCTGCTGGATCACAAAGAGGAGGCTACGTTGGTGGAGGTGGCAGCAGAGGTAGTTATGGAGGAGGTGATGGTGGATATATAATGGATTTGGAGGTGATGGTGGCAACTATGGCAGTGGTCCTGGTTATAGTAGTAGAGGAGGCTATGGTGGCGGTGGTGGACCAGGATATGGAAACCAAGGTGGTGGATATGGTGGCGGTGGTGGAGGATACAATGGTTACAATGAAGGGGGAAATTTTTGTGGTAACTATGGTGGAGGTGGAAACTATAATGATTTTGGAAATTATAGTGGATAACAGCAATCAAATTATGGACCCATGAAGTTCTGGTGGAAGAAGCTTATGCACATTTGGGAAACTTTAGGAAACCTATACATAAACACAATCTGTAGATCCTGTTTGAATCCTGATTTGAGTAAACCAACAGTAAATTACTTTTGAGAAAAGTTGGAGCAATTTGAAACTTGATCTAATTATTAGAAAATTATTGTTGCCCTTATCAGTTTGGCTCAGTAGATAGAGCATGGGCCTGAAGATCGAAGAAAATTATTATTAATGCTACTAATGTTATTCTGGTTATGCTTTAAAAAAAAAAACTAGTCTGTTAGATACTAAAGTATTCGTGGGTGAAATACTATGATGTTAGGTATGTGGAATTTGCCTTAAAATACACCAGGGGTAGAAAATGAAAGGGAAAAGATGAAACAAGATTTGCAAACTCTTGTTAATTGTTTAAAGAGAAGGATGGATTTATGGGATCATTACACTATTCTCTATAATTTTGTGTAATTTTGAAAATGTTTGCAATAAATTAAAAAGTTCTTTCATTTACTAGTATTACATGTTTCAGGGATTGGTGACATTCAGGGATGTGGAAATAGAGTTCTCTCAGGAAGAATGGAAGTATCTGGAACCTGCCCAGAGGGACTTGTACAGGGATGTGACTTTGGAGAACTTTGGTAACTTGGTCTCACTAGGTAAGAGTATCCTGTATAATAAAAACCTAATATGCTAAGTTCCAGTCAACCAGTTGGCCATTCAACCAATCAAAGTGTAATATGTGAATGATATGCTAAGGCCACTCCACTGCTTGCTATGATGTGCACTGACCACTGGAGGGCAGACAGTTGATCAGTTGCTTTGATGATGTGCACTGACAACCAGGTTAGCTTTCTGCTGTGGTCTGGCCAGTTGGGACTGGGTGAGATGGGCCGAACATACCCTGGATCTCTTCCACGGTCCCTCCCCAGCTGGCCAACCTCCTGTATTTCTCCCCTGCCCCGATCATGCACTGGTGGGGTCCTTTGGCCTGGCCAGCACCCTCTCACAATTCAGGACCTCTCAGGGGATGTCGGAGGGCCAATTTCAGCTTGATCCCACAGTGAGAGCGCCACTCAGCCTGAAGGCGAGGAATTGTTAGGGATTTGAGAAATTTTAGGAAACCTATAAGTAAACACAATCTGTGGGTCCTGTTTGAATCCTGATTTGAGTAAACTAACAGTAAATTATTTTTGAGAAAGTTGGGGCAATTTGAAACTTGATCTGGCAAGCATAGTGGCAGTGGCAGGAGCTTCTCCTGCCTCCGCAGAAGCGCCAAGGATGTCTGTCTGATGGCTTAGACCTGCTTGGGAATCAGTCGGACATCCCTCAAGGGCTCCCAGACCTCAAGAGAGTGCAGGCCAAGCTGAGGGAGCCCCCTCCCCCAGTGCATAAATTTGATGTGCCGGGCCTATAGTTGTGTAATAAATGTACAGGCAGACCGAAACAAGGCTCCCAGGGACTGCAACAGTGGGAGGCTGTTACCACCTCTGGCCAGAAGGGGTAAAGGGAGGAAACACTGCCACTGGAAGATTGTGAGAGCTAAAATCATGGAAAAGGGCCTGGCTAGCAGCAACTAAAGCTACTTCCAGAACTCTTGGGTCAAAGGAGGGAGGGAGAAATATAAGAAATACCCTGAAGTCTGTCTCCTCCTGCCTGCTTATCTCCTGCTGATGCTTTCCATTTGCTAAACCCAGTAAAAAATGGCCACTATAATTCTGTCCTTTATAGGTAAGCTGTCTAGAGCACAGAGCATGGTCAGAAACAGTAAGGAATAGATTGGAGGGGGGACAGAAATTAAGTACCATAATTATCAATTCCAAATACTTCAACTAGCCTTCTGGAATTTCTAGTTTCTTTGGGGTGAATATCTAGAGACACTTACAGATTTCTAGCTGAATTTCTGCTCTATGTTCCCAAAGGAATTGTTTTGTGCTTTGTGGAAGTGGAATTGGGTAATTCCATTGGCACTTCCATCTTCACTTTCTTTGGACAACCTTCATACCTTCCTTTATGTAATTGCCTCTCTTTCTTGTTGACCAAGAGACTAGGTTTGAATTTTAAAACAGAATAATCACTCCCCATTTCTCTTCCTATAAACAGGACTTTCCATTTCTAAGCCTGATACCATCTTCTTATTGGAGCAAGGGAAAGAACCCTGGATAATGGCAAATGATATAACGGGACCATGGTGCCCAGGTGAGCAAGGGTTAATACAGTGGGGAAGGTCATATATATATATATATATATATATATATAAAAGCCCAGTGACCGGAATGGTGGAATGACCAGAACAACTGGAATGACTGGTGGCTATGATGGGTAAAGGGAGGAAACACTGCCACTGGAAGATTGTGAGAGCTAAAATCATGGAAAAGGGCCTGGCTAGCAGCAACTAAAGCTACTTCCAGAACTCTTGGGTCAAAGGAGGGAAGTAGAGAATGAGAAATACCCTGAAGTCTGTCTCCTTCTGCCTGCTGATCTCCTGCTGATGCTTTCCATCTTCCAAACCCAGTGATTAGTCCCCAGCCCCTGGGCAGCACAGCCCCTGATGGGCCCCCAATACCTTGATCAGGGGCAAGGCCGGCCAGCCAACCACCCACGGCCCCTTCTTACAACTGGCCCTATCGCCGATTAGCCCCCAACACCTCGATTGGGGTTGGGGCCAACTGACCAACTGTCTGCAGCCTCCCCCCCCCCCCCGCCCCAGGCTCGCCCTGATGGGCCACCATGCATGAATTTATGCACAAGGCCTCTGGTCTACACTAATAAAAGAGAAACTTTCAAATTGACCATCACTCTGCTATACCCACCACCAATCAGAGCAAGTATGCAAATTAACCCAACTAAGATGGTGGCTGCCACGAAGCTGGAGCCAACCGGAGGCTTGGGTTGCCCCCAGTGATGGAGGAAGGCAAGCTTCCCACTCGCCCTGGCCAGCCCTGGCATCTGCTCAAGGCTACAAAGTTTCAAATATAGGATATAAATAAATCCCAGATACCTGCTTCCAGCTAGTCCTGGCCTATGCTTGGGTCACCAAGGGGCATGGCCAGCCTGCAAACCACCACAGGCCCCTCACCCAGGCCGCCCCACTCCCCAAGGGAACCTCCACCCTGATCCAGGACACCCTTCAGGGCAAACCAGCTGGCCCCCACCTGTGCACTAGGCCTCTATCCTATCTAATAGAGTAATATGCAAATTGAATGTCACTCCAACACACAAGATGGCTTCCCCCATGTGGACACAAGATGGCCACCACAAGATGGCCAGCAAGGGAGGGCAGTTGGGGAGGGACCAGGCCTGCAACAGAGGACAGTTGTGGACAATCAGGCCATCAGGGGAGGGCAGATGGGGGCGATCAAGCATGCAGGGGAGAGCAGATAGGGGTGACCAGGCCATCAGAGGAGGAAAGTTGGGGGCAACTGGGCCTGCAGGAAAAGGCAGTTGTTGGGGGGACCCAGGCCTTTAAGGGAGAGCAGTTGGGGGAGGAGAGGACCAGGCTGGCAGGGGAGGGCAGTTGGGAGTGGGGGGGAGACCAGGCCTTCAGGGAGGGGCAGTTGTGAGTGACTCAGGCTTGTAGGGGAGGGCAGTTGGGGGTGACCCAAGCTTGTAGGGGAGTGAAGTTGGGGAGACTAGGCCTACAGGGGATGACCAGTAGGGGAGGGGATTTAGAGGCAACAAGGCCTGCAGGGGATTGAAATTGGTGGGGACCAGGTCTTTAGGGAGGGCAGTTGGTGAGGACCAGGCCTTCAGGGGAGGGTAGTTAGGGGGAAACCAGGTCTGCAGGAGAGAAAAGTTGGAGGGGACCAGTACTGCAGAGGAGGGCAGTTGTGGGGGATCAGGCCTGCAGAGGAGGGAATTTAGGGGCGACCAGGCCTGCAGGGGAATGAAGTTGGTGGGACTAGGCATGTAGGGGAGGGCAGTTGGGGGGAACCCAAGGCCTGCAGAGGAGGGCAGTAGGGGGGGACCAGGCCAGCTGGGGATGGGAGTTGGGGAGGATCAGGCCTGCAGGGGAGGACAGTTATGGGTGACCATGCTGGCAAGAGAGGGCAGTTAGGGGCAACCAGGCCTGCAGGGGAGGACAGTTAGAAGCAATCAGGCTGGGAGGGAGCAGTTAGGCGTCAATCAGGCTAGCAGGGGAGTGGTTAAGGGGTGATCAGGCTGGCAGGCAGAAGTGGTTAGGGGCAATCAGGCAGGAAGGCAGGTGAACAGTTGGGAGCCAGCAGTCCTGGATTGTGAGAGGGATGTCTGATTGCCTGTTTAGATCCTATCCTGGTTGGGCCTAAACAGGCAGTCAAACATCCCTTGAGGGGTCCCAGATTGGAGAGGATGCAGGCTGGGCTGAGGGACACAACTCACCTAATCCCCATGCACAAATTTTGTGCATTGGGCCTCTAGTCCTATAAAATAAAAAGGAAATATGCAAATTGACCATCACGTTGCCACAAAGATGGCAGTGCCAATAGCGAAGGCAGGGGGTTGGTTTAGGTAACACAAGATGGCTTCATCCACAGCAGATGTGGGTGGGGTTTCCATAACACAAAATGGCTACACCCACAGTGGAGGCAGGGTTTCTGTAACACAAGATGGCTGTAAGCAGAGGCCAAGTTCCTATAATGAGCCTTAATGAGCAATCAGCAGAGATCTGAAGCTGTGCCCCACCACCTCTATGGGGCTTGACAGGGGACTTTAGGCTGCTCCCTGCACCCTGGTGCTAGGCTGGGGAACCACAGGCCATGCCCCCCAACCAGCAGGGCTTGACAGGGGACCTGAGGCTGCGCCCCCCTCCTGACACCAGGCCAGGGGATCTGAGGCTGCACCTCCTCATCCCCCGCAAGGCTTGACAAGGGTGGAACCAGCCAGGACTGAATCTCACCCAATGGGGGGGCTGGTTGGATCTAGGTCTTGTGAGATTTTGAAGCACATGTGGGTGGGTGGGTGGGTGGGTGGGACTAGACTCTGGGTCCCATGGTGCACCTCAGCCTCTGACAGGAGGAAGATTTTCATAAACATTTTACTAATTTTCTTTCATCTCTGACACTTCTATTATAAAGAAAGGGAAATAGCAATATTAAAATATTTCCTCCAATTAATCCTCTTTTAATGTGTACAAATTTCATGCACCAGGCCACAAGTCTCTATATAAAAGCCTAAGTGACTGTGACAACCAGCTGGTAGCTATGACCTGCACTAATTACCAGGGGGTAGACGCTCAATGCAGGAACTGCCCCCTGGTGGTCAGTGTGCTCCCACTCCCAACCTCCCATGGCTGGCCAATCTCCCATGGTCCCTCCTCCCCAGCCAGCCTCACTCATGTATGAATTCATGTGCCAGGCCTCTAGTTGGAAATAATAGCCCAGAGGATAAGTTATCAAATAGTAACTTGATATCTTGTCAGGAAATTCCCCTCAAAGCCCTACCAAACACTGAGGAAAATAAAACCAGAGATATGAAGAACAAAGGCCTTGTCAGTATCAGCTCCCAAGGGAACTTTGTCCTTACCCCCATTAATCTTTTTTCAGAGGTATCGTTGCCAAATACGTTCTCCCATACAGTGGGCCCTTGTTTGTTTTGTTGATGGTTTCTTTAGCTGTGCAGAAGCTTTTTATTTTGATGTAGTCACATTTATTTATTTTCTCCTTAGCTTCCTTTGCTCTAGACGATGTATCCATAAACATATTGCTTTGAGAGATGTCTAAGATTTTGCTGCCTATGGTTTCTGCTAGAATTTTTATGGTTTCACAACTTAACATTTAAATCTTTTATCCACTTTTAGTTTATTCTTTTGTATGGTATAAGTTGGTGATCCAGTTTCTTTTTTTTCTTTTTTTTCTTTTTTTTTTTTTGCACATGTATCTGTCTAAGGCTTGCCTGCGCCTCAGGCCAGCCCTAGGTGACTGGGCAGCTGACATCTGAGGCTTGCCTGTGCCTTGGGCCAGCCCTGGGTGGCTGGGGAGCTGAGGGTGTGTGCCTGCTGTCTCCTGGCTGGGCTGAAAGGACTGTGGGACTCCAGCACAGACGCAAGGAGTGGCCGGACCGGGCACCTGACACTCGCCCATCTACACAAAACTGAAAAGACTGGGGACTCTGGTGGAGCTGAGGGGACTAGGCACCGCCATCTTTGTGGCAGCGTAATGGTCAATTTGCATAGCCCTCATTATTAGATAGAACTAGAGGCTGGGTGCACAAAATTCATGCATGGGGGTTCCTCAGTCCAGCCTGCACCCTCTCCAATCTGGGACCCCTCTCACAATTCAGGACTGCTGGCTCCAAATTTCTCACCTGCCTGCCTTCCTGATTACACCTAACAGCTTCTTCCTGCCAGCCTGATAACCCCCTAACCACTCCCCTTCCAGCCTGATTGATGCCTAAATGTTCCCCTGCCAGCCTGATTTCCCCTAACTGCCATCCCCTGCAGGCCTGGTCACCCCTAACTGCCCTTCCCTGCAGGCCTGGTCCCTCCCAACTACTCTCCCTTGCAGGCCTGGGTCCTCCCCAACTTCCCTTCCCTGCAGGACCAGTTGCCCCCAATTTCCCTCCTCTGCCAGCCTCGTCACCCCTAACTGCCCTCCTCTGCAGGCTTGATTGCCCCCAACTGCCTTCCCTTTCAGGCCTATTCCCTCCCAACTACTCTTCCCTGCTGGCCTGATCAGGTGGTTTTTTCCCTTCCTAATATTCCAAGTCATTGATTTATTCTCGGTATCCTCTATTCTACCATTTCCCCAAAAAATAAGACAGTGTCATATTAATTTTTGCTCCCAAAGATGCGCTAGGTCTTATTTTCAGGGAATGTCTTATTTTTCCATGAAGAAAATACAGTCCACATTTATTGTTAAATGAAAATAAAGGAAATTTATTACCTGTATACAGTACGGTAGTTATCAACACAAACCAGACAAACTGTGAATCCTACAGTATCAAGAATTTACTCATTTATTCAATGACAATCATGTCATCATCTTCTGGGACATCATCATAACAATCCAATTCCTGAATTTCCTGGTGAATTTCTTGTGACTCAATTTCTTTCAGAATCAGTGGACCAAATCTCTCATGTTTAGCCTAGGGGGGCCTTATTTTGGGGGAGATGCCTTATATTTCACTTAGAAGGAAACCTGAAAGTAGGTCTTATTTTCGGAGGATGTCTTATTTTCGGGGAAACACGGTACTATTGAATCTCTGTAAATTATTCTTTATTTCATTAGTGTATGCTTAATTTCTGACTGATACTTTTTCATGTCCTTGACATTCTCACTAAGATCCTTTAAGTTCCTTGAAACTCTCATTAAGACCTTTGAACACCCTTATAACCATGGTTTTGAACTCTGTTTCTATTAATTCATTTGCTTCCATTTTATTTCTTTTTCTGGAGATTTCTTCTGTCCTTTCACTTGTGACATGTTTCTTTATCTCCATATTTTGGCTGCTTCCCTGTGTTTGTTTCCATGTATTAAATATAGCTGCTATGTTTCCTGAAATTGATAGAGTGGCTTTGTGTAGTAGATGTCCTGTAGGACCCAGAGGCTCAGCTTTCCCAGTTACTTGAATGGGGAACTCTGCATATGCTCTTGTGTGGGTTGTGTGCCCAGTATTGTAGTTGAGCCTTGATTGCTGTTTCTATCACTGAGAGGAATTGACCTCCAGGCCAATTGGTTGTGGGGACCAGCTGCAACTACAGTACAATAGCTGCTGTTGAGGGTTGAAGGTTCAGTCCCCAGCCCCAGATTGGGCACATGCGGGAGGCAACCAGTCAAAATGTCTCTCTCACATTGATGTTTCCCTTTCTCTCTCTCCCCTCTATTCTATCCTCCCTTCCTACATTTTCTCTAAAATATATATATATATATATATCAATGGAAAATATATCCTGGTGAAGATTAACAAAAGAAGAATAAGTTCAGGTGAAATCTCATTGAAAATTAAAGCAAGTTTTATTCAAGTAGAAATAAAGATCCCTAGCTGGTTTGGCTCAGTGGATAGGGCACTGACTAAAGGGTCCCGGGTTTGACTCTAGGCAAGAGTACATGCCTGGGTTGTGGGCGCAGTTTCCAATATCGGGCATGCAGGAGACAGCCAATTAGTGATTCTCATCATTGATGTTTCTATTTCTCTCTCCCTCTCTATTCCTCTTTGAAATAAATATACTGTATGTATATTAGCCTTTTATTATATATATCAAGTGGCCAGATTATTATGATCTCTGAGGGAGGCATGGGTTTCCCAGGCAATGGAGGAAGCCAAGATTTCTGCCTGCCCTTGCCGGCCTAGGCCTCCACTCAAGGATACAAAGTTTCAATTATAAAAGGTAAACAAATCCAAACAGAAATGGTGGCAGCCACAGAGCTGGAAAGAGCGGGAGGCTAGGGTTACCCCTAGCAATGGAAGAAGCAAAGCTTTCTGCACATCCTGGCCGGCCCAGGCTTCCACTCCTGGCTACAAAGTTTCAATTATAAAAGATACATAAATTCCAACAGAAATGGCTGCCAGCCATGGAGCAAGCAGGAGGCTTAGCTCCACTCCAGGCTACAAAGTTTCAATTGTAGAAGATAAATAAATTCCAGATACTAGGGCTTCCGCTTGGGTCACCAGGGGGTGTGGCCGGCCTGCAAACCACCACAGGCTCCTCAGGCCACCCCAAGCCCCAAGGGAACCCCCATGCTGATGCAGGCACCCTTCAGGGCAAACCAGCTGCCCCCCCTCCCCCCATGCACCAGGCCTCTATCCTATCTAATAAAAGAGTAATATGCAGATTGACCATCACTCCAACACACAATATGGCTGCTCCCATGTGATCAAAGATCCTGCCCTCATGTGGACACAAGATGGCCACCACAAGATGGCCAGCAGGGGAGGGCAGTTGGGAAGGACCAGGCCTGAAAGGGAGGGCAGTTGTAGGCAATCAACCCTACAGGGGAGGGCAGTTAGGGGTGACCAGGCAGGCCGGCAGAGGAGGGAAGTTGGGGACAAACAGGCTGGCAGGGGAGCAGTTGAACATCAATCAGGCTGGCATGGGAATGGTTAGGGAGTGATCAGGTTGGCAGGCAGAAACAGTTATGGGCAATCAGGAAGGCAGGCAGGCAAGCAGTTGGGAGCCAGCAGTCCTGATTGTGAGAGGGATGTCCGACCGCCCATTTAGCCCCAATCTCATGATGATCAGGTCTAAACAAGGGGTCCCAGATTGGAGAGGGTGCAGGCTGGACTTAGGTACATCTCTCTTCCCAGTGCAAAAATTTTGTGCACTGGGCCTCTAGTTCTATATAATAAAAGGCTAATATGCAAATTGCCCCCCTGACCAGGAGTTTTACCAACAGGCAGGCCAGCCAACTGCCCATGTCCCCTCCCCCTGGCCAAGCTGGCCAGACCCCACCCATGCACAAATTCATGCATCGGGCCTCATACACACACACACACACACACACACACACACACACTGCCCTTTAAACACTGATCCTTTAAATTCTCATTAAGTTCCTTGAAACTCTCATTAAGACCTTTGTACATCCTTAAAACCATGGTTTTAAACTCTGTTTCTATTAATTCATTTGCTTCCATTTCATTTCTTTTTCTGGAGATTTCTTTTGTCCTTTCACTTGTGACATACACACACACACACACACACACACACACACTGAGTGGCCCAATTATTATGCATTCAGAGATCATAATAATCTGGCCACTCAGTGTATATGTAAAAGAGATAGATATAGATAAAGATATAGATATAGATATATAGATATAGATATAGATATAGATTTTTTTTAAGAGGCTAGGATGTGGATAACTGGAGATAGGATCAGGGTGGTGCTGCCTGCTGCTCCCCTTGTTGCAAGTCTCACAGGGCACCACCATTAAAAAAGCAAAAGTACACATCTGAATGTACTGTGTTGAACTCACAAGTGAGTTGCGCAGTGGGTCAGTCAATTCTTTGTATTTTATATGTTTTCAAGGATAGGTTGTTTTTGAACTTTGTGGTGCTCAATTCTGACCCAAATTCTGGTTGGGAGGGGTCTTGTCCCTAATATGGTTAATTTAGGAAGTGTCATGATGTTTATTCCCCTCAGCCTACCTTCTACTTGTGGTGTCAGTTTTCATTATAATAATGGCATAATGAGCTTTGGGGTCTTTCTCTGGTCAGTTTTTCCTCAATCTCAGATTTAACTGGTTTTAGCCAGTCCTTGCTATTGCTGACTTCTGTACCAGTTAGGACTTTCCTGCCATAAATTATTTTTCATGATCATGTGTGGAGGCTGGGGATCTGGTGAGAGGATCTAATACTATGGTCCTGTGATGTCCACTCCTACTTCCTCATTCACTTAGGGAGTTTCCCTAATTTCTTTTTTTTTTTTTAATATATATTTTATTGATTTTTTTACAGAGAGGAAGGGAGAGGGATAGAGAGTTAGAAATATCGATGAGAGAGAATCATCAATTAGCTGCCTCTTGCACCCCCCCCTACTGGGGATGTGCCTGAAACCAAGGTACATATCCTTGCCTGGAATCGAACCTGGGACCCTTCAGTCCCCCAGGCCGATGCTCTATCCACTGAGCCAAACCGGCTTCAGCCCTAATTTCTTTCTATCCTGACTCAAAATAAGCTATTCACCTTTTATGATTATTTCATTTTATGTCTGTAGTCTACTGTAGAACATTTTTATTTCTTTTAGACCAGGAAAACAATTTGTATTCATATATTTTTTTTATTATTTTTTTTCCAGACCTGGAGTCCAGATGTGAGAAATTTCCACAAAAAGATATTTCTGAAGTACAGACATTCAATTGGGAGCTAATGAAAAGCCTTAAATGCTGTAGTTTTGAGAGCTCTAGTTTTAGAGAAGACTGGGAATACAAACGCCAATTTGAAAGACAACAAGTAAACCTGGAATGCTATTTCAAGCAAGTAAAAATCACATATGAAAACATACCCATTTTTGAACATCATGTATCCCTCACTGACAATCAGAGCAATGAGACTGGAAAGAAACTGATTGAATGTAATGAACGTGGGAAAGCATTTAGCCGTGGCTCACACCTTATTCAACATCAGAAAACTCATTCTGGCGAAAAGCCCTTTGAATGTAAAGAATGTGGAAAGGCCTTTAGTCGAGCCTCACACCTTGTTCAGCATCAAAGAATTCATACAGGTGAGAAACCTTATGACTGTAAGGAATGTGGGAAGGCCTTTGGTCGTACCTCAGAACTTACTCTGCACCAGAGACTTCATACTGATGTCAAACCCTATGAATGTAAACAGTGTGGAAAGACCTTTAGACAGCATTCACAACTTATTCTGCATCGAAGAACCCATACAGGTGAGAAACCTTATGTATGTAAAGACTGTGGTAAGGCTTTTATTCGTGGCTCACAACTTACTGTTCACTGGAGAATTCATACAGGGGCTAAACCCTATCAGTGTAAAGAATGTGGAAAGGCCTTTAGACAGCATTCACAACTTACTGTACATCAGAGAATTCACACGGGGGAGAAACCCTATGTATGTAAGGAATGTGGAAAGGGCTTTATTCATAGCTCAGAAGTTACTCGACATCAAAGAATTCATTCTGGGGAGAAACCTTATGAATGTAAAGAATGTGGAAAAGCCTTTAGACAGCATGCACAGCTTACTCGACATCAGAGAGTTCATACTGGTGACAGACCCTATAATTGTAAGGACTGTGGGAAGGCCTTTAGTCGTAGTTCATACCTTATTCAACATCAAAGAATTCATACTGGTGACAAACCCTACAAATGTAAGGAATGCGGGAAAGCCTTTATTCGTGTTTCACAATTGACTCATCATCAGCGAATACATACTTGTGAGAAACCCTATCAATGTAGGGAATGTGGAATGGCCTTTATTCGTAGCTCACAACTTACTGAACATCAAAGAATTCATCCTGGTATCAAGCCTTATGAATGTAGAGAATGTGGACAGGCCTTTATTCTTGGTGCACAGCTCATTGAACATTATAGAATCCATACTGGTTAGAAAGCTTTTAATATTAGGGATACAGGAAAGTCTTTAATGGAGTTCACACCTGACTTAATATTAGGTATTGCCTAATGTAGTGTAATATCAGAAAACCTTCATTTGTCACTTCCATTGTGGAACATCAGACAACTCATATAAGAAATAAAGTTAATAAAGGTGAGGATTCTTTTTGCCTGAAAATCACTGTTTTTCTATGTATCAGAGAACTTATGGTGAAAAAATATTAATGTGAATGTAAAGTCTTCTCTGACCACTCAAAATGTATCAACCTCCTGACAACTCCTAATGGAAAATAACCCTATTAAAATGTTTTGTGAATGTGCCTTTTGCCATAGCATATACCTTACTTAGCATTATCCCATTTCTACCAGTTACTGATGGTATATCATTGGGCAAATTATGCAATCTCTCTGTTCCTCAGTTTACTTATTTTTAAGCAATAGTAATTATACCTACCTGATAGAGATTTTGTGAGGACTGACAGATATTTTTTAAAAAGCCTGTGTTGAATAAATATTAGTTATTAGTTGACAGTAACTGAACTGTCTAGCAGCAAGTGAAATTCAGGGGCAGCTTTCTCTAAAAGGTGCTTGCAGCGATTACCAAGGGACAGTTAGACCCCGGGGCCTCATAGGGCAAGGCTGGTGGAAAGCCCTGAGACTCCGCCCCATCCAAGCTGAGCACAGAGGCATTTGCATTTTGCAAGTCTTGTCTCATAAGGCTGACTCCAGACAGAAGTTCTCCCGGTGTAAACAAAGCTGATCCCCACAGCCAATTGGCCTGGAAGTCAATTCCTCCCACTGATACTAACAACAATCAAGACTTATCTACAACAAGGCTGTACACACAGTCCACAAAGGGGTACACCAAGAGTGTCCACCTCAGGTAACTGGGGAGGCCGACCCAGTGGACCATATAGGACACCTAGCACACAAAGCAACCCTACCAACTCAGGGAAGCAGCAAAAATGCAGAGACAAAGAAACAGATCACAAACAAAACAAATGGAGGCAAACAACTGGATATAGAGTTTAAAACCACAGTTATAAAGTTTTTCACAAATTTCCTAGAAAAGACCAATAAACTTAGTGAGACCCTTGAGGATATGAAAAAGGATCAACTAGAAGTTAAACATGTAGAGGGCCAAATGGGAAGACACTTGGACATTCTATAGATTGTTGCTGACTGGGCCCGGGATATGGGCAGAATCATGTCAGTTGCACTCCCACCCTGGGAGTGCGGAGATGTTCTTAGTTCCTGGCTTGTGTTTGTTCGTCCAGGAGGAAGGAGTGGGTGGAACCTGGGCTCTCCCAGGCTCTTTGTTTTCCTGTGAAACCCCCTTGTTGGATTGGAGTGTAAATAGATGTATTGCATGGCTCAGGAGGTCGTCAGTCAGTCTCTCCAGCAGAGGAGGTCAGCGGCCCTCCAAGCTCCCAACTTAAAATCTATCTCTGTGTCTTCTCTCTTTATTTCTAATATTTCTCAATCCCTGGGCACCTCCACTTAGAATTGGTTCGTTCATCTCTCTTTCCATGTGGGACATGGAAAAGGGAGATCCCCACCATCAGGCACCTGCATAAACATACACTGACTGAAGTAAAAAAAATATTATACAGAGACCCAACAGCAGACTAGAGGATCCCAAGAATCAAGTCAAAAGATTTGAGATATAAAGAAGCAAAAAAGAAGGAAAGGAAAGGAAAGGAAAGGAAAGGAAAGGAAAGGAAAGGAAAGGAAAGGAAAGGAAAGGAAAGGAAAGGAAAGGAAAGGAAAGGAAAGGAAAGGAAAGGAAAGGAAAGGAAAGGAAAGGAAAGGAAAGGAAAGGAAAGGAAAAAGGAAAGGAGAAAGGAAAGGAGAAAGGAAAGGAGAAAGGAAAGGAGAAAGGAAAGGAGAAAGGAAAGGAGAAAGGAAAGGAGAAAGGAAAGGAGAAAGGAAAGGAGAAAGGAAAGGAGAAAGGAAAGGAGAAAGGAAAGGAGAAAGGAAAGGAGAAAGGAAAGGAGAAAGGAAAGGAGAAAGGAAAGGAAAGGAAAGGAAAGGAAAGGAAAGGAAAAAAGAAAAGAAAAAAGAAAACGCTCAACAGAAAAGAAAAAAAAAAAAAAAAAAAAGAATCCAAAAATTTGAAAATAGTGTAAGAAGCCTCTGGGACAACTTCAAGTGTACCAACATCAGAATTATAGGGCTGCCAGAAGAAGACAGAGAGCAAGATACTGAAAACCTATTTGAAGAAATAATGACTGAAAAGTTCCCTCACCTGATTAAATAAAGAGACTAACAAGTTCAGGAAGAGCACAAAACCCTGAGCAAAAGGAATCCAAAGAGGACCACACCAAGACACATCCTAATTAAAATGCCTAAAGCAAAAGACAAAGAAACAATATTAAAAGCAACAAGAGAAAAACAGTTACCTACATGGGAAAACCCATACAAGTGTCAGCTGATTTCTCCACAGAAATTATGCAGGCCAGACGGGAGTGGCAAGAAATATTCAGAGTGATGAATAACAAGAACCTACAGTCAAGACTACTCTACCCAGCAAAACTATCATTTAGAATTAAAGGGAAGATAAAGAGCTTCTCAGATAAGAAAAAGCTAAAGGAGTCCATCAACACCAAACCAGTATTATATGAAATGTTGAAAGGTATTCTTTAAGAAAAGGAAGAAGAAGAAGAAGGAGGAGGAGGAGGTAAAAGTAAAAATTATAAACAACAAATACATGTCTATCAACAAGTGAATCTAAAAACCAAGTGAATAAAAAATCTGATGAACAGAATAAACTGGTGAATATAAATAGAATCGGAGACATAGAAAGGGAGTGGACTGACAATTCTCAGGGAGAAAGGGGTGTGGGGGTGCGGGAAGAAACTAAACAAAAATCATACACCTATGAATGAGTACAGTGCAGGGGAGGTAAGGGCAGAGGGTTGGGATCGGGTGGAGGGAAGCTATGGGGGGGGGGGAGTTATTGTAATAATCTGAAAGATAAAGATTTATTAAATTTAAAAAATTCATTAGTCCTAGGTGCCTATAGCTACCTGTTCATAAAAGCAAAGTCAATAGAACATTGTCTCCCATCTTTTTCGGGGGGAAAAAATCAGAAAATTAGAAGGTAACACAAAAGTAGCCAAAAGCAAGTTGCAATTTAGAAATCTAAAACCACAAGTATTATATATCTCTATTTCAAGAAAAATAAAAACTAAATTTACAAACTAGAAATGAATGACAGTGAATTCTGTGTATCAAAACCAGATCATTGTAGCCAAAGCTGTACTTTTGTCAGAAGAAAGAATTGAAGGTAGTGGTTTTGTTCTCCTAATGTCGATCTTCAACACCTAGTCATTGCAGGTCACATACCAAGCACTCTGAATGAATGGATGGTCAACTCTACAAGTTAGGAGAAAATTAACATATAAACCCAAGTCAACAGTAAGAATTAATATTAGCCCTAGCCAGTTTGGCTCAGTGGATAGAGCATTGGGCTGCAAACTGAAAGGTCCCAGGTTTGATTCCGGTCAAGGGCACATGCCCGGGTTGTGGGCTTGATCCCCAGGGGGGGACTTGCAGGAGGCAGCTGATCCATGATTCTCTCTCCTCATGGGTGTTTCTATCTCTCCCTCTTCCTTCCTCTCTGAAGTCAGCAATAATAATATAATAATAATAATAATAATAATAATAAATGTATAAAAGAATTAGTATTAAAAAGGAAAAAAACATTTTAATAAAGTAGAAAACAGTAGACTTAAACTGGATGTAGTTTATTCAATAAGATATAAGGTGATTTACAAGTTTGATCTAGAAAAAACACATTTACTATTATGAATGAGTAAGGGTAGATATTTTGAAGTAGCTCCTATGCATTACTTTAGTATATCTGAAATCTAGAGAGAATGTATTTTCTAAAATATCAAAATTAGTTCAAGAAGATGTAGAATACCTGGATAAATCAAAGATTATAAAAGGAGGTAAAAAGTCATCAAGTCCCTAGCTGATTTGGCTTGGTGGATAGAGGATTGGCCTGCAGACTAAAGGGTCCCAGGTTCCATGCTGGTCAAGGGCACATATTCAGGTTTCGGGCTCTATCCCCAGTGGGGAGTGGAGGCGGGTGGCATGCAGGAGGCAGCCAATCAATGATTCTCATCATTGGTGTTTCTATCTCTCCCTCTTCCTTCCTCTCTGAAATCAATATATATACATATATAGTCATCAAAGCTCTGTCTCTTCAGAGAAAGTTGTTTTCCTACAAAAACTTCAAGGAACCAATTATCCCTGAGAGAAGGGGTTAACTGCCAGTTCATTCTTAAGGCTAAATAAAATTATGATTTAAAAAATCTCAACAAGGATAGCTCCCAAGAAATAAATTGTAAGTAGTTATTATTTGTGAAGATAAATATAAGTAAAATTTATTCTAATGTAATCCAATCTATTAAAATTAAGATCACTTTACATGGAATATTTGGGATTTCACAAGTTCTGGGATAATTATATCGTTAGAACTTTGGTGTTATAACTCTAGGAGATGACAATGATGAAGAGAAGAGCCTTGGTCCAGTCCCATTGACCTTTGGGTCTAGACTTGTGAATCTGAGAAATCTCAAGAAATAGATCCTCAGCCCTTGTGGTAGCCAGGCAGTGTCTGGGCAGAGTAGCCTGTCTTGCCCCAAATACCATCCATCATCTCAGATACCCTGAGTGTTTCGTAAAAGCACCTGCATTTTCTTCATGTGCCACTGCCTACAAATGATTAGAAAGCAATGTTCTGTATGTCCTTTTTCTTTAAAAAATGTCATTTGAATAGTTAATACACAAGCACAAGATAGCTTTATTTTTTAAAGTTATATAATTTGGTATACAAACAAAGTTTCCACACTATCTCTGCCCCCTCTTCACACTGTTAATTATTATTTAGCAATCACTGGTATCAAGGTCCTGTATATACTCCCTGAGTTTCACATTACAGAGTTATACATAATTTACTCTTTATTTAAAAAATTGACACAAATG